AAGAGCGTACATGTGTGGACGCAAGGACTCATGGATGAATGAATGCAAGGATTCATGGATGGATGGACACACCCTTTTATTCGTAGATGTGTGGATGCATAAAAGCATGGACACATGAATGCATGCATGCATGCATGGATGCAAGGGTGCATGCATGCATGCATGGATGCATGGGTGCATGTATTCATGCAAACCACACTGCTTATGATTCATACTGCCAAGGAACAATATTACCGCAGTAGCAGCACCATGCGCAGCAGAGGCAGCAGTGGTCCAGCTTCAGGCACAGGGATGAGCGCAAGCGTTACCAACAAGAAAAGCTTCATCAGATATTGTGGTTACACCGGACACAGTAGCTACAGCTGCTTCAGAGGCAACATCTGCTACAGTAACTACAGCTGTTACAGTGGCTACATATGTTAAGAACATAGCTTAGGCTAAGAAGCCATGGCTAGGATTTAGGGTAGGACAAGGAGATAACGAGAAGGTCGCCAAAGTAAAGAGGTTGCACTGTAGAACTTGGTACAAGTTATAGGCAAGCATGAGGGTGCACCACCACACAAGAACATAGAACTATACTAAGTCTACACTACAGGCAGTTACAAAATAATGTATACAATTACATTTCAACAACATATGCTACAGCTGCTACAACAACTGCAGATGCCACAGCTGCTACTGATTCGACAAAGGTTTACAACTTATTCAGCTGATGCAGTAGCTGGGGATGCTAGAGAAGCACCAGCCACAGCTGCTGCTGCTGCTCCAAGAGCATGGAACAAACCAGCCACAGGAGCAGCATGGAACCGCAGTTGCTGTGCAAGCATCAGAAGCAATAATACTGGCCTCCACAATCTCATGCGCTACTGCTGATGTCGCAGGATTGCTAGAGCAACTATTGGCAACACCCAGAGAATCAGTGGCTGGAACAGCATCAACAACAACAATGTGCTTTGAGTTGACTCAAAACACACGCGGACCAGGACCACCACAAGAGGCAACCACTACAGCGTGGCGTGTGATGCGCTGTTGATTTGGTGGTATCTATCAGCAGCATGTGACTGTCATGCGTGTTGCTGTTCCTAGATTGGATATATATTTCCATGTACACTTTAAAATGTGAGATTTATAGTTCTGAAAGGAAGGTTCTTACAAAGAACTCTCATACGGTATTGCAGAAGACAGGCCACTTATGTACCTGCTTGTGTTGTTTCAGCCACTGAGCAGCTTGTAAGGCATGGCTTGGACTTAAAGTGTATTCCTAACCTCGTACCGTCATCACCCAGATATAAGACAGTGTTGAATAGTAGACAGGGGTTGTCTATTATACAGGTGTCTCTTATAAACGGGGTAGGCTCATTATAAGACACCTATTTGTGTGTAGGGGCAAATGGCAAATGTATAACGAGGAAGTATCTTCTAAACGGATTTTTGTCCATTTATAAGACTGATTTTTTTAATGTATGAGATAAGACATACATGTCTTATATCCGGGCGATGACATTATCAAGCAAACCTCATATCAGGCTCACACTGAAAATTTCCCTAAACCCGAAACCTCTCGCCACTGTTGGCTTGTAAAGCATGCTGGCCCAGAGTGTCTTCGCTGTGTTTTGACTCAAATGCTGGCTTGAAAATATGATATACCGTAATACCCCGAATAGAAGCGCACCTGCGCTTATAATAAAACATTGTTTTTTGGGGGGGTGCGCTTATAATTGAGTCAGATTTATAAGCGCATGCGCTTGTATAAAGGGAAATATGAAAATCAATTTTGAACACACCATTGTGAAGCTCTCAATAAGGCGAATTCAACCGACCATGCACCAAGTGGGATTGTGCATGGTTTTCAGGCAGAAACCGCAGCAGTTCGGTTTCCCACCGCACAATGTTGTCTGGAAACATCGAATGTGACAGCCGTGACGAGGATGTTGTCATGCGGCCCAATTAGAGTCGCATGCGCTGTGTGGCATGTGCATTCGGGCAGAACCATCTCAAAGGTTCGGCAAGATTCCCTGCCAGCGCAGCGTAGATGCTGCCACGGAGGCGCCTCTACGGGAGTGGGCGGGGGTTTCCTGCCTGTCATCGACGAGGAACCCAAGCCGCCACGCAGCAGGGGTCCCCGTCGTTGCCCATTTCTTCACCCTCGTCTCTAATTTTTTCATTCAGTTTCCTGTCTAGCCCGCCTGGCAGGCGAATCCATGGCGGAATTTAGTGGGACTCACATCCTCTTCAAGAAGAAACCACGCCGCACATGGCGACTTACCGAGGACGGGTGGTATACCCGTGAGCCACCAGCGCCTCCTGTGCCACCGGATCCCCCTGCACCCCCTGCTCCTCCTGCTCCCCCTGCACCCCCTGCTCCACCCGCTCCTCCCGCACCTCCCGCTCCTCCGAATCCGCCTGCTTTTGCTACGGCAGGTGCTCACCAACGGCCCGTGCTCCAACTGTATTTACCAGCCACGTTCGACGAATGGTTGGCTGAAGCGGACACACCCAAGGCCCCCGATGCACGCATCCAAGCTCCAGCGACTGCACCACGGTGGGGACAACCAGAAGTCTGCGCGTGGGATGAGTCGGCTGTGGGCGCCGACGATGATGTGGCTACCGACAAACATGACAGCGGCGCCGGCGAAGCTGGAGGCGACGGTGAAGCTGGTGGCGACGGTGCAGCGGGCGACGAGGAAGACGTGTTCCCCGACCGTGACGAGGACGAGGACGGTGTGGAGTCCTGGTGGCGCGACGCACCACGCGCGAAGATGCCGGTACCGACGTATCCGCCCCTTAACAAAAAACGCCCCCACCCGTCTACCGAGAATCGAGATGCCCGCCCCCCCTCCCCCAGGCACAAGCTGAATCAACATAAGCGGCAGTGCTACACCGCCCAGGAGAAGTTGAGGTGGCTCGTGCGGCTCGAGCTTGCGGCTTCGGTGAGCGAAGTGGCGCGGGAGTCAGGCATACACCGAAAATGTCTGATAGAATGGAAAGCCCAAGCGGAGGCGCTCAAGGCTGCACACGGAGCACGGATGCGACTTCACGGGCGCGGGAGGTCGTCTTGGTACCGCCCCATGGAGTTAAAGGTGTACGCGCAACTCCTCGACTGGCGACGCCGCGGAGTTGCGGTTTCGGTCGGCCGACTGCAAGAGTGGTCCAAAGAAGTGATGAAGTTTCTATACCCGGACGTCAAGTGGAAAGGCAGTCAGCGGTGGACGGAGCGGTTCCGCAGGCGGTGGAACCTCAGCGTGCGCATGAAAACAAAGGTGGCGCAGAAAACACAGGAGCGTAAGTGGGTCGTTTACTGCTGATTTTGGTTTATCCCGATTACGCTTAGTTTTTTTTTCCGCATGTCTCCTGTGCGTCATACTAATTTGGTTTACTATATGTACTTTTCTCCCTGTTCCGTAGACGTGGCTGAGCAGTGCAAGGATTTTTGGCAGTACGTACGTGACGCCCGGAACGAATACGACATTGACAGCCGCTACAACATCAACGCCGACCAGACACCGCTGTGGTTGGAGATGCCGGCGACGACCACCGTGGAGCAGACGGGCGTGAGGTCGGTGCCCATCCGCAGCGGTGGGTACCAGAAGGAGAGAGTGACCGTCATGCTTGCGTGCACTGCGACAGGTGAGAAGCTGAAACCGTGGGTGTTTTTCAAGCGCAAGACACTCCCCAAGGGTGACTTCCCGAACGGTAAGTGATCGTCGCGCGTGTTTATTCCCGTTACTACCTGAGTCGTCAACCGTTCTTTTTCGTTGCGTGCAGATGTTGTGGTCGGCTGCCAAGCGAATGGGTGGATGGAGGCCGCAGGCGTCATCGAGTGGCTCTACACGGGCGTGGTGCCGTTCCTGAAGCCGAAATTCGGCCTGCAGAGTCGTAGCGCCATGCTGGTGCTCGACTCGTATCGCGGTCACCTGACACCAGAAGTCAAGGCGAGATTCGCGGCGCTCAACATCGTGCCTGCTATCATTCCGGCGGGTTGCACGGCAGACCTGCAGCCCCTCGATGTGTCGATCAACAAGAGCTTCAAAGCAAGCATTCGTCAACAGTACCAGAATTGGTTTGAGGAGGACGGCATGAACATCCTGACCCCGGCAGGTGAGTGACGGCATGTGCTCCCGTCTGCAAATCTTGAGCTTGAATGCATGTTTACTTGTCTCATGTTTTCCCTGCCCCACTCCGTGTGATGCAGGGAACATCAAGAAACCACCTCCGGAGGTGGTGCTCAAGTGGATTTCACGGGCCTGGAAGGCGGTGCTCGCCGACCTCATCAAGAAAGCCTTCCTCACTTGCGGCATCAGCAACGCCCTTGATGGGAGCGAAGACAAACTGGTGCTGGCGCACCGAAGGTGCCAGTTGTCCCATGAGGTGGAGGTGGACGACGACATCCAGGCAGATGGGTTCTGGGGCAACAACTCCACGGAGCCTGAGTCGGACGAGGAGGAAGAATAGGCAGTAGGGTAGACTAGGCAGGTTGAAAGGTGTGTAGTGCAGGACAGCAGAGACCACCCTTGTATGTGATTGTCAAACTTAATGGAAAGTTTAAAACATGTAGGCTAGGTACCGTAGGTAAAAAAAAATGATATTCTTTTTTTTTAACTAAAAGGGTGCGCTTATAATAAGTCAAGATTTCCAAAGGGGTGCGCTTATAATTGAGGATCGGCCATAAGCGCATTGCTCCAGATACAAGCGCATGCGCTTAACATAGGCCTGCGCTTCTATCCGGGGCCATACGGTACCGGTATTGTCCAGCTGTGACACAACATGAGTTTGACTTGAAATAGGGTGAATTGGAATGAAAGAAATCTGCTCGTACCGGATCAATCAAGAATGGGTTGAGAAGTGTTTTTTATCAAAGAACCGTATCGATTCAAAGGTAGTGCATGGATTATTTGCAATGCAAGAAAGGCCTGAAGAAGCAGCCACAGCTGTCCCAAGCTGTACCCACGACGAAACGAAACACCTCCCTTCTCTGACGTTGCTATCGAGTTTCGCTTGCGCTAGAGCCCTCTGATGTTCTTCAGGAATTTCAGCACCCTAACAGCAGCTGCCACAGCTGCTCGTTTCTCTGGCTCTGTCAGTCTCAAGCTGTCCCCATGGCGAAACACCTCCCTAACATTGCTAACGAGTTTTGCTTGTAGTGGATCGTTAAATAACCGTTGGGATTCACTGTAAGACTCATTCATAGCCCTATCACTAGCCGGACCAGCCCTTGTGGTCCTGCATTTGCCCATCACACCCAGGCCTTCCTTGGGATAAAACCCACCACCGGTGGATTTGGGGGGATGGACTTGGAGGGAGATGGAGGGAGAGGAGGCCGAGAGACCAGCAGGAGAACCAGATGCTTGTGGGTTTGTCTCCGGATTCGCTGTACATGCCTTGATCGCCCTCAACAACTGGTGGTAGTACACTGTAGGGCTGGTGGCAGCATCCTCGTTATGTGCGTCTGCATTAGAAGCAACAATGAAGATCATGCGAGTGGTGTAAGAGATGTGAGTGATGATGATGATGCACGCTGTGCAAGTAAAGCAGAGTGTACAGCAAGCAACGGATTGTGCATGCATGGGTGGGTTGATAGAGTAGAAACACAGATGGTATGATTGGTGGAATGTCGAGGCTGGTTGTGGCAAGGCATGATGCATCACTGCATGACGTAACACGATTTACCATGTCATCACATAACATTGCATGGCATGGCATGCTATCGCATGGGTATGGCATGGAAGGCAAGGCGAGCCTTTGCAAAAGCATACAAGGTGGTAGAAGAGCCTTACTGTGCGAGCGGGAGGGGGTGACAGAGAGAGATCCCATCGGCCAGGCGCTACAAGGGGCGAGGGAAGATGGGCGAGACAAGAAGAGGGGGGCAGGGAGGAAGACAGGTGGGGAAGGGGCAGAGGAGAGGGGGCAGGCCAAGACAGGTGGGAAGCGGAAAGGGCAGCGGAGCAGAGACGGGGGGGAGGGGAACGGGGAAGCAAGGTTGGTGGAAATTCTTGAGATGAACGGAGCATCATCACCTGGTGAGGATCCAGAAGGAGAGTGCGAGGGTGAAGGTCAGTCAGTCAGTGCCCCCTTGCCACTTGCTCCTCTGGGTTCAGCTTTCGACGCATGAGCCCTTTAAAGAAGTCCAAGCTGGTGAGTGGGGGGGAGGGGGGGAGGTGTGAGGGTGATGCAGATTGGAGTGTGATGCAAGGAGTCAGTTTTTGGCGCAAGGAGTGTGGGAGGGCAGTGACGATCTCCTCTGGAGTCAGCTTTTGGCGCATGAGGCTGCTGGGAAAGTCGAGGCTGGAGAGTGGAAAGAGAGAGAAAGGCGACGGCGATGCAAACGAAGGGTGGAGAGAAGCAATGCACGCATGCACAGCCGATCAAAACGGAGGTCAAAGTGGAAGGAGGGGAAGGACGAAAAGGGGGCAACGGTTTGAAACGAAGGCAGCAATATCAAGTCATTTGACGCACATCTTCATCACCTGTTGCCTGTTGACACTAACCTGTTGCCACTAACCTGTTGACACTAACCTGTTGACACTAACCTTTTGCCACTAACCTGTTGCCACTAACCTGTTGCCACTAACCTGTTGACACTAACCTGTTGACACTAACCTGTTGCCACTAACCTGTTGACACTAACCTGTTGCCACTAACCTGTTGCCACTAACCTGTTGACACTAACCTGTTGACACTAACCTGTTGACACTAACCTGTTGACACTAACCTGTTGACACTAACCTGTTGCCACTAACCTGTTGACACTAACCTGTTGCCACTAACCTGTTGACACTAACCTGTTGACACTAACCTGTTGACACTAACCTGTTGCCACTAACCTGTTGACACTAACCTGTTGACACTAACCTGTTGCCACTAACCTGTTGACACTAACCTGTTGCCACTAACCTGTTGCCACTAACCTGTTGACACTAACCTGTTGACACTAACCTGTTGACACTAACCTGTTGACACTAACCTGTTGACACTAACCTGTTGCCACTAACCTGTTGACACTAACCTGTTGCCACTAACCTGTTGACACTAACCTGTTGCCACTAACCTGTTGACACTAACCTGTTGCCACTAACCTGTTGACACTAACCTGTTGACACTAACCTGTTGACACTAACCTGTTGCCACTAACCTGTTGCCACTAACCTGTTGCCACTAACCTGTTGCCACTAACGTGTTGACACTAACCTGTTGACACTAACCTGTTGCCACTAACCTGTTGACACTAACCTGTTGCCACTAACCTGTTGCCACTAACCTGTTGCCACTAACCTGTTGCCACTAACCTGTCGCCACTAACCTGTCGCCACTAACCTGTTGCCATCAGGGGAAAGCTCGTACTGTATCCCTGAAGGATCAGTGGCGAGGAGGTAACCACCCGTAGTGAGACCCTGAGGGGGGAGGAGGCAACGGGAAAGCAGTAAGGGGAGGGACGAGGCAAGGGGAGAGGGGGAGGGGGAAAGAGGCGCGGGGAGTGGCAAGGGGAGAGACAATGGGAGAGATGAGGGGGAGGAAGTGTGGATTAAGGTTGTACAAAAAGTTGGTGGACGGAAGTTGCTTGTGTATACGCATGTACACCCATGCGTGTGTGCATGTGTGTGTGTGCACGCACACGCATGCATGTGTGTGCCTGCGTGCATGCGTGTGTGTGTGTGTGTGTGTGTGAGAGAGAGAGAGAGTGTGTGTGAGTGTGAGTGTGTGAGTGTGTGTGTGTGCATGTGCATGTGCATGTGAGTGTGTGTGTGTGTGTGTGTGTGTGTGTGTGTGTGTGTGTGTGTGTGTGTGTGTGTGTGTGTGTGTGTGTGTGTGTGTGTGTGTGTGTGTGTGTGTGTGTGTGCATGTCTGATGTGTGATGAGAAAACGAGCAAGTATCAGTGTGCACATGGATAGGAGAGTGCAGGGAAAAGGTAATGCAGAAGTGGGTATGGGAAAAGGGGAAAGAGGTCACGGGGCAAGGAAGCAGGGGAAAGGGAGGAGAACAGGAGGAGCATGAAACTAAAGCACAAGAAAACACAGGGACATGAGAGGGCTGGAAAGGATTCATGAATCTGAAATGAAATCACACCTGAATCCACACCTGAATCCACACCTGAACCCACATCTGAACCCACATATATGAACCCCCCACTTGAACTCCCACCTGAACCCCCACTTCCCACCCCCCCCCCCTTTTCCCCCCACAACTTGAAAATCCGAGGTGAATTTGAACACCTGAAACCGCACCTGAATGGTGAGGGAGACCTGGGTGACGCTGCCACCCTCCTTAGCCTCCTCCAGCACCACGTGCTGGCCACTACGGAGGGGTCACGGGGGGGCGGAGGGAAAGGGGGTGAGCGAGCGCAGGGGGGGCGAGGGCAGAGGGGGGGAGGGCAGGGGGGACGAGGGCAGGGGGGGGAGGACAGGGGGGACGAGGGCAGGGGGGGGAGGGCAGGGGGGACGAGGGGAGGGGGGACGAGGGCAGGGGGGAGAGGGGCAGGGGAGACGAGGGTAGGGGGGCCGAGGGCAGGGAAGGGGGAGATGGCACGAAGGACGGAGGGGGTAAAGGAAAAGCAGAGAGGCGGGGAAGGGTTGGGGAGATAAGATAAAGAAGGGATAGATAGGATAACGGAGGGAGTTGCAGCGGAAATTCGAAGAGCATTCACGCAGAAGGCTATCGGAATGGAAACAAGAGAATTGTCAGAAACGACACAAGCATTAGAAATGCACGCGGCACGCCGGGAGAAAAGGAAGAGTAGGTGGGGGGGAGCGGCGGGGAGCAGGGGGAGAGGGGGAAGGGAGGGGAGGAAGAGAGGGAGGGGAGGAGTGAGAGATGACAGCAGAAAGAGCGGAGGGAGGTGGGGAGGTGGGGGAAAGCAATGGAAAGGGGGCGAATGCACAAGGTACCTGTGCAGCCAGCGTTGGAGATAATCCGCTTCCAGAGGCTTAAAGCCTGGTGGGGGGAAGAGGGAGAGGGCAGAGGGGGGTTAGGAGGCAGGCAGGGAGAGAGTTAAGGGGCAGGGAGGGAGGCACGGCGGGAGGGAGGGAGGGGGGGGAGGGAGGGAGGGAGGGAGGGAGGGAGGGAGGGAGGGAGGGAGGGAGGGAGGGAGGGAGGGAGGGAGCGAGCGAGGGAGGGAGGGAGAAGGGAGGGAGGGAGGGAGGGAGGGAGGGAGGGAGGGAGGGAGGGAGGGAGGGAGGGAGGGAGGGAGGGAGGGAGGGAGGGAGGCAATGAATAACCGCCACCTCAAAAGGCAGCATAGCATCATGGGGGAGGGGCGATTTCAGAAGCGCCCCAAAGGGCCCACAAGTTGGCTCTTGAGAATTCAAAAAAAAAAAAAAAAAAAAAAAAAAACACAACGGCAGAGCATCGTGGCTGACAGGCCATTCCGAAGAGACTAAAGAGGCTCAACCCCCTCTTTCCCCCATTTCCTTCCCCACCCACCTTGCTGTTCAAAGACGGAGAGCAGCGAGTGCAGGCGGTTGAGCAGAGCGGCCAGCAGCGCCTCGTGAAAGACAGGCTACTCCTGAGGCACCTCAAAAGCCCCATCACACCCCACCTCACTCCACCCTTTCCCACCCTCCCATCCCCCCTTCCCGCACCCCCTCGTCCCCCATCCCACCTTGCTGTTCAAAGACGGAGAGCAGCGAGTGCAGGCGGTTGAGCAGAGCGGCCAGCAGCGCCTCGTGGGAGACAGGCGCGGCGGAGGGGCAGGCGGCTTGCAGGGCGGCGTTGATGCACGTGGTGGGATGGGCGTTGTTCACATTCAGACCTATGCCTGGTGTAACATGGGGGAGGAGGTGATGGTAGAGGGGAGGGCGGAACAAGGGGCGGAGGGGCAGGCAGCAGCCAGAGCAGCGTTGATGCACGTGGTGGGGTGGGCGTTTTCCACGTCCAGTCCTATGCCTTTGGCAGGTTGTGAAACAGGGGGGAAAGAGGTGGGAGGGGGACGAGACGGGAGGGAGGAACAAGGAGCGGAGGGGCAGGTGATTGCTTGCAGGGCGACGTTGATGCACGTGGTGGGATGTGCATCGTCCACACTTAGATTAAACCTATGCCTGGTGGAGCATTGAGAGGGGTAGGGAGGAATGGGAGGGATCGAGTGGGGGAAAAAGACTCTTGAGTTGACTCAAACATCGTCATGTCATGTCATCCCCAAGGGTTTGCTGTCCCATTGTCATGTAATCTGATGGAGGACCCATTGTCTCTACTAACAACCCTCTCACTGCGACAAATCAAGAACCCCTCACTCTCATTCATCCACTCTTACTCACAAAATCACCCATTCACTTTCCCACTCACTCACCCATTCACTTTCCCACTCACTCACCCATTCACTTTCCCACTCACTCACCCATTCACTTTCCCACTCACTCACCCACTCAATCCCTCACTATCTCACTCCACTCACCCACAGTGACGTCAAACGCTCTGTTGCGGTAGGATGACGTGCAGAGCACGCCACCCACCTTCAGCCCGCCCAGAAAGATGTCGTTGGGCCACTTGAGGGCTACCTGCGGGAGGGAGGTCTGTTGAGACAGAGGAGGGGCAGACAGAGGGAAGGAGGGTAAGAGGATAAACTTGAATTTGTTCGGCTCGGGCCACTTGAGCAGCAGCAGCGGCGGCGGCAACGGCAGGAGCAGAAGCAGCGGCGGCGACGGTAGGAGCAGTAGCAGCAACGGCGGCGGCAGCAGCAGCAGCAGCAGCAGCAGCAGCAGCAGTGGCGGCGGCAGTGGCGGCAGCGGCGGCAGTCACCTACCCCTCTCTCCTTGGCCATGTCTTCAATAGCTTGCACCACTGCCAGCGACAGCACATACTGCAGCAGTGGCAGCGTGCGGCCGTCAACCCAGCGCAGCGAGAGCGAGAACATGAGGCAACCCTCTGGGCTATCCCACGTGTTGCCCCCGCGGCCTGCCACGTGGCGGGCAGTCAGAGAGCGATAACAAGCAGGGAAGAGGGGGGGATGGGTGGGAAGGGGGAAGGGGGGAGGATGAAGCAGCCAACAGAAAGATGGACAAGCACTTTAGCATGTAACAGTAGATGGGGCATAGCAGAAGAAAGGAGCGGCGAGAGGTAGGAGAAATTCAACGTGAAAATGAATGGAGGGGCACGAGGCAAGTGGAAGAACGGGAACGGAGAAGGGGGAGGGGCAGATATGGGGAGCGAGACCGGGAGGAAGAGGAAGAGTATGAGGGAAAGTAGGATGAGGGAAGTACTTTGTCCGCTGTACTGAATGCGAGAGAGAGATGCAGACGGTGCCTACAGGTAGGGTTGAAAAGCTTTTGAGGCGTCTCAAAATAGAAGAGGACGAATACGAGGGAGGGTGAAGTAAGAGAAATACCTCGTCCGCTGTACTGAATGCGAGAGATGCAGACGGTGCCTATGGGGAGGGTTTCAAAGCTCCTGCAAGGAAAAACCAGCATCAAAGCATCATCCATTCATGCGTGCATGCATGCAGCACATGGCGCATGAAAGCATTGTGCATCATGACATGCATGCTTCATATAATGCATGCTTCAACAAAGTGCAACCCATGACATCCACGCATCAACGCAGCACAGCACATGCCATGCATGCATGCAGCACAGCACAACACATGACACCATGTGCCAATCACCAGCATGCAGCACAGCAGCACGGTAGCACACGCCTTGAGATGAATGAGCAATAGCACATACACTCCCTTGTCACATGAGGCGTTCTCCCTCGGAGGGAGTCCCTAGTCCAACACAGCATGAACACAAGCACACAGTGCAAGCATCCACCATACCAGACATTCCCACATTCCCTTCACTCTCTCCCCATTCTTTCACCCTACCCTCCCCTCCCCGTGTCCGGTCCTAGCCTACTCTTGCTGTTTACTTTGATACAAGAGTGTGAGTTGACGAAAGTCGTTTGCTGGCCAGCAACGTCCGTCCAAGTCCGTCAGTCGAAAGAGCACTGAAGAACTTATCCACGTCAAATCCGACTACATCCTTGGCGGAGGAAACCTCAGCGTCGTTTCTCAGCACCACGCCGCCGTTGTCCTCGGCAAGCTTTATCCCCGATAGAAGGCTTTTCGAATCGCCAGATCCCTTAACGAACACGTACACCTCGTCCTCTGTCGACATCCTCCAAGGCAACGGCTCCGCGATTTCTGAAGTTCCTGACGGAGCTGTTGCAGAAATACCACCGTCGTTCGCGGCGGAGCGCTCTAACTGATACTTCGGTCGCGTGGACGCTTTACGTGCATACTCCGCGCCAGACGTTCGTTGCGACAGATTCTGCGAAACCGCACAGGCTCGGAATTTCGAAGAAACTGCCGGATTCGAGTAAGAGGCTGATTCCGAAAAAACGGCCAGAGAACCGTATCCTCGAGAGTTATTAGATCTGACGGTCCGGAAGTTCCCTTGCGATCCTTGTTCACGATAGCTATGGTCGGTCGAATCGCGAAGAGCAGCTGGTAACCTTATGTTACTAACCGATGGAATTACGGCATCGGCGGGGCCGCTAAGGGAGGGACAGTACGGCAGAATAGAACCAATGTGAGAGAGAGCGGAGGGACGTGCGATGGGTTGGAGCGTGAAGCGTAGAATGCGGAAGACTGGGCTCGACAGAGCGACACGTGATAGTGAAAGGAGCCTTAGAGGCAATAAGAGGCTAAGGGACATACCTACACGAACACCCCTGCAACACAAATCAGTGTAGGTGCATGCTACCTTACTAGTAGCTTGATACTAACCGAATACTAGTAGGCCTTGATACTAACCTACTAGTACTACTAACTTGATACCGACAAGTCTCAGTGTGCTATACAATACGGATACAGACACGGAAGAGGGTTATCATGGTAAAAGGAGGAGGTGAAGGATTCTGATGTCTAACAGTAATAACTGACATGGCGTAACCCTAATCTGCTGAGGAAGGAGGAGCGAGGCCAAGGGATGAGGGAGCAAGGTCTTTGAGAAAAGCTGCGCTGTCAATTTGGCGATTCAATTATTTGGACGAACTCAATCGACACTGGTTACCATAATGTTTTTCCAAGACTTCCCAAGGAAACGAGCATTCTGGAACCTCGGCGAATCGTTTCGTCGTTTTTTTTGCGTAACTTTGGGAACTCGTCTGGTGTTTCCCGATCATCACAGCGCCGTACAGAAGCGACGTTCCCATCTGCAAGTTGCTTTTTGTTCTCATCTTTCCATCCCATCAACTCATCCGCGACAGCGGGTGAGTCCGAAACTAGGTAAAGTAAATCGGTTTCTTGTTATTCGAGTCACTACTACCTATTTACGTCAAATTTTGCTTTTGAACGCAACCATTACTCTGTGAGAACGAGTCAAGCATCGCTAGGTTTGCTTTTCCAATCCCCGGATAGCAAGCTCTTCAATTCTTGTTGTCTCCTCATTTAGTCTTACTTGCGAAACAGACCCGGACGCTTGTTGGAGAATTTTCACGCAGCGAGCCCGCTCCCGACGGCGTCCGTCGCTTCATTTCCCCGCGTTCACTTCGTCGCACACCCGCTCGTCGCCTGTCGCCTGTCGCCTGTCGCCATGGACGTCGAGAGGCTTTTGTTTGCGGGAACGAGCATCAACAGAAAGCGCTTCAAAAAGGATATTGACGTTTTCAAGGTGCTCCTCGTTACAGTAGTAGCTGTGCTCGTATCACTTTCGCGGATTCTCAATATTCTTAGAAGCTCAAGAGCTTTAGCCGTTATCCCTCTAGAAACCCTTTGTGTACTGGTCGCATTGCGTCAGCGGAAAAGCGAGTCACACGAAGGGTTTCGGGCTTTACCATACGGGGTTTTGGGGTTTACCTGGTTTCCTCTGCTGAGTTTTTTCTTACCTATTTCTGTTTTCTGTGCTTCCTTCTCCTCCATTTCTTGCAGGTGCGTGAGCAGACGACAACAGCAGGAGCAGAAGCTTCTCAAACAGAGATTGACGTTTCAGATCGACTGGATGGTGGAGCGTCCGGCGCGTCTGGAGGAGAGGCATCAGAGAAGAAGATGGACCCTGTTGAGGTGAGCAATCTGTTTTTCAGGCCGCTTCCCTAAAATCTAGAAATAGACCTGTTGAGGTGAGCAATCTGTTTTTCAGGCCGCTTCCCTAAAATCTAGAAATAGACCTGTTGAGGTGAGCAGTCTGTTTTTCAGGCCGCTTCCCTAAAATCTAGAAATAGACCTGTTGAGGTGAGCAATCTGTTTTTCAGGCCGCTTCCCTAAAATCTAGAAATAGACCTGTTGAGGTGAGCAATCTGTTTTTCAGGCCGCTTCCCTAAAATCTAGAAATAGACCTGTTGAGGTGAACAATCTGTTTTTCAGGCCGCTTCCCTAAAACCTAGAAATAGACCTGTTGAGGTGAGCAATCTGTCTTTCAGGCCGCTTCCCTAAAATCTAGAAATAGACCTGTTGAGGTGAGCAATCTGTTTTTCAGGCCGCTTCCCTGAAATCTAGAAATAGACCTGTTGAGGTGAGCAATCTGTTTTTCAGGCCGCTTCCCTAAAATCTAGAAATAGACCTGTTGAGGTGAGCAATCTGTTTTTCAGGCCGCTTCCCTAAAATCTAGAAATAGACCTGTTGAGGTGAGCAATCTGTTTTTCAGGCCGCTTCCCTGAAATCTAGAAATAGACCTGTTGAGGTGAGCAATCTGTTTTTCAGGCCGCTTCCCTGAAATCTAGAAATAGACCTGTTGAGGTGAGCAATCTGTTTTTCAGGCCGCTTCCCTAAAATCTAGAAATAGACCTGTTGAGGTGAGCAATCTGTTTTTCAGGCCGCTTCCCTGAAATCTAGAAATAGACCTGTTGAGGTGAGCACCGCTTGTAGTTTCTCAACCCATCATCATGTTCTCTTCAAGAGGTTTTGGGTCTCAATTTCCCACACGACTTCCATGAGGCTCTCATGCTTATTCCCAAGATTCAATGTTTTTCGCTTCTTTCCCTTTCACCTCCCCTTTCCCCCGCCACGTGGCAGCATGCAGCAGTGCTGCGCAAGCGCCATCGCATCCACGTGTCCAGCCACCTGGTGACGGCTCCGCTCGAGTCCTTCCAAGAACTGGCCGACAAGTGAGTGGTTTGCGGTCAAGTGAGTGGGTGGGTGCCTGTTAGAGGAGTGGCTGGTTGTTACTCTGATTAGGCGGTGCTGCTGCTAATGTTGTTTTTCAAGTTCTGACATGTCTCAGAACCCAACTCTCACCATTCCATCCCACCCCATCCCATCCCATTCCTTCCTATCCCACCCCACCCATCCCACTCACCAGGTACAACTGTCGGCGGCGCATATTGCGCAATCTGCAGGAGATGGGCTTTGAGCACCCCACGCCAATCCAGAGGCAGGCAGTGCCGCTGCTGCTGCAGGGGCGGGAGTGCTTCGCCTGTGCGCCCACGGGCTCCGGCAAGACCGTTGCTTTCCTGCTTCCCATTGTCATGGCCCTTAAGGTGAGCTTGTGGGCTCCAGGTGAGCTCGTGGGCTCATGCTGGTTGCTTTTTAGGTCGCCCATACCCCCCACGGCCATCCCAAGGCAGGCGGTCCCGCTGCTGCTGCAGGGCCGGGAGAGCTTTGCCTGTGCGGCCGCAGGGTCCGGCAAGACTGTCGCCTTCCTGCTACTCATCGTCATGTGTGGAACTTTATACAATCGGAGCAATCGGGGCTCTGTTGATGCAGTCGGAATTGTGATCCTGGTTCATGATGACTGAGGCGCCTCAAACTTTTGAACTGGGACGACTTTTGAGGCGCCTCAAACTTTTGAACTGGGACGACTTTTGAGGCGCCTCAAACTTTTGAGCTGAGACGACTTTTGAGGCGCCTCAAACTTTTGAACTGAGACGACTTTTGAGGCGCCTCAAACTTTTGAACTGGGACGACTTTTGAGGCGCCTCAAACTTTTGAACTGAGACGACTTTTGAGGCGCCTCAAACTTTTGAACTGAGACGACTTTTGAGGCGCCTCAAACTTTTGAACTGGGACGACTTTTGAGGCGCCTCAAACTTTTGAACTGAGACGACTTTTGAGGCGCCTCAAACTTTTGAACTGAGATGACTTTTGAGGCGCCTCAAACTTTTGAACTGGGACGACTTTTGAGGCGCCTCAAACTTTTGAACTGGGACGACTTTTGAGGCGCCTCAAACTTTTGAACTGAGACGACTTTTGAGGTGCCTCAAACTTTTGAACTGAGACGACTTTTGAGGCGCCTCAAACTTTTGAACTGAGACGACTTTTGAGGCGCCTCAAACTTTTGAACTGAGACGACTTTTGAGGCGCCTCAAAAGTCGGGGCTCCGTTGATGATGTAGTCGGAAGTGTGATCCTCGTGCCGACACGCAAGCTGGCGTGGCGCTGCAGATGTCACGATCGTTGAGCCTTCTGTTGAGACTTTTGAGGATTCTCAAAAGTCACTCGAATAACGCAAGCTGGCGTGGCGCTGCAGATGTCACGATCGTTGAGCCTTCTGTTGAGACGTCTTCTTCCTGCCTTCCTTTCCCCCCTCCACCCCCACTGCCAGTGCCACTCCCCAGACGCCATCAGAGCAGTAATTCTCGTGCCGACACGCGAGCTCGCGCTTCAGATATTGCTGGCGTTTCGGTCTTCAGAAGTTTTACTTTCATATATTGAAGCATTGACGCGTTTCAGAAGTTTTACTTTCAACCCTTCTCATCTCTATCTATCTCCTCATCCTCTTCCTCCCCACCCCCTCCGCCAGTCACACTCCCCTGAAGCCATCACAGCAGTGATTCTCGTGCCGACTCGGGAACTGGCCCTTCAGATATCACGGGCGCTGAGCCTCTGAGACGCCTCCTTCCTGCTTCCCTGTTCCCCTCCATCTTCCCCGCCAGTCCCACTCACCCGACGCCATCAGAGCAGTGATTCTCGTGCCGACTCGCGAGCTGGCGCTGCAGATATCGCGGGCGCTGAAGCAGCTGGCAGCAGGCACGAAGCTGAGGGCGCGGCTGCTGACCAAAGCCACTGCCAGCTGTGTGGAGCTCAAAGGGGCGGCATGCGATGTCCTCATCGCCACTCCCCTCCGGCTGGCCCACCTGGTGGCTGAAAAGAAAGTTGACCTGAGCCGGTGAGTAGGTGTTACTGCGTGTGAGTGGGTACGGTGCGGTGCGGGGCTGAGAGCGCGACGCTGAGGGCGCGGCTGCTGACCAAGGCCACTGCAGGCTGTGTGGAGCTCAAAGTGGCGGCCTGCGATGTCCTCATCTCCACTCCCCTGAGGCTGGCGCACCTGGTGACTGAGGGGACGGTCGATTTGAGCTGGTGAGTGAGTGTAATTTGTTTTTTTCTGTTGGCGCTCCTCAGAAGAATGCTTGAATCCAGAGAACCCCAAACCCAAAACCCTCGCCTTTCCAGCTTCCACTTGCCACTCGTGTGACTCATGAGAATTCTCAAAAGTCATACGAATATAGCCTTTCCAGCTTCCACTTACCACCTGGCACGATCCCCTTCCCTTCCCCTTTCCCCTCTGCATCCTGCTGTTTCCACCCCTCGCACCTACCCCACATACACTCCACCAGAGTGCAGCATTTCGTTCTAGACGAGGCGGACAAGCTGTTCGAGATGGGCTTTGTGGAGCAGATCCACAATCCATCCACTCACCACCACGCACCAACCCTCTTCCTCTCCTCCCTCCCCCCTTCTCCCCCCTCTTCTCCAGAGTGCAGCACCTGGTTCTAGACGAGGCAGACAAGCTGTTTGAGATGGGCTTTGTGGAGCAGATCGACGGGGTCGTGGCGGCCTGCTGTCTGCCCGCCCTCACGCGCTCCCTCTTCTCCGCCACGCTGCCTGAAGCCGTTGAGCAGCTGGCGCGATCAGTCATGCATGACCCTGTGCGGATTGTGGTTGGGGACAGGTGAGGTTTTAGGCACTGTTACGCTCTGCGAGCAATGTTCATCGTTCTAGGCACTGTTACGCTCTGCGAGCAATGTTCATCGTTCTAGGCACTGTTACGCTCTGCGAGCAATGTTCATCGTTCTAGGCGCTGTTTTGCGAATGAGTTTTTAGGCACTGTTACGCTCTGCGAGCGTGCCAAGCCATCCGTTTGTAGCCGCTGCACCCTGCACGCTGCATTCACGCTGCTCGCAGGCGCTGCACGCTGCACGCTCCCCCCGCCCTCTCACGCGCTCCCTCTTCTCCGCCGCGCTGCCGGAAGCCGTGGAGCAGTGGGTTGTCGTTGGGGACAGGTATGGCACGGCACGCCTTGGGTGTATTTTCTGCAGCCATTAGCTTCCAGGCACGGCACCCTGCACGCTGCATTCACGCTGCTCGCAGGCACGGCACCCTGCACGCTGCATTCACGCTGCTCGCAAGCACGGCACCCTGCACGCTGCTCGCCCCCCGCCCTCCCGCGCTCCCTCTTCTCCGCCTCGCTGCCGGAAACCGTTGAGCAACCGGCGCGATTGGTCATGCATGACCCCGTGCAGATTGTCGTTGGGGACAGGTGAGGCATGCCATGCGTGTGTTTTCTACAGCCATTTGTTGTTAGGCGCTGCCCGCTGCCCGCCCTCGCGTGCTGCCTCTTCTCCTCTGCCACTCTGCCTCAAGCTGTGCAGCAGCTGACTGGCATCTGAATCGTCTTGTCTCTCCTTATACCTGCCCTGGCACACATTGCAGGGTTTAGGGTTTAAGCAGCAGAGACGGTGAAGCAGAGGCTTGTGTTTGTGGACGCAGAGGAGGGCAAGCTGGTGGGTCCTGGGTCCACTCAACAGCTGGCTCTGGCACATAACACCTCATGTCTTTCCCATTAACTTGGTGCACGCCACAGGAACGCAGCAGCGGAGACGGTGCAGCAGAAGCTGGTGTTTGTACTGTGGGCACAGAGGAGGGAAAGCTGCTGGCTCCTGTGTCGATTCAGAGGCTAGAATGTCTCCCCCCCCCCCCCCCCCCCCCCTTTTTTTTTCTGGTTTTCGTTGCACTCGCCATAGGAACGCCGCAGCAGAGATGGTGCAGGAAGAGCGGGTGTTCTGGGCATGGAAGAGGGCACGCTGCTCACGCCCCTGCATTTCTTTCTCGCTGACTTGCTGGTAACCGCAGGAACGCCGCAGCGGAGACGGTGCAGCAGAGGCTGGTGTTCGTGGGCACGGAGGAAGGAAAGCTGCTGGCGATGCGGCAGCTGCTGCAGCAGGGGGTGCGGCCGCCGGTGCTGATATTCGTGCAGAGCAAGGAGCGCGCCCAGCAGCTCTTCTCCGAGTTGTCTTTCGATGGGCTGAATGTTGACGTCATTCACGCTGACAGATCCGTGGCGCAGGTAAGATTTCTTAAGAGATGCCTGTGCTGCCTCTTTCTGAGACGTCTCATAAGGCAGCAGGGGGTGCGGCCGCCGGTGCTCATCTTCGTGCAGAGCAAGGAGCGCGCCCAGCAGCTCTTCTTCGAGCTCTCCTTTGATGGGCTCAACGTGGACGATCATGCATGCAGACAGATCGGTGGCACAGGTTTTAATCCCTTTAGGCATCTCTAAAGGAAGTAGGGATGAGTTTACTCTAGGAATGACTACCCTCTTTCCCTCGTCCTCCTTTTCTCCCCCTCCGCGTGTTCTCTTCCAGAAAGAGCAGGTGGTAGACTCGCTCTGAGAGGGAAAGGTCTGGTTCCTGATTGCAACGAACCTCATGGGGTGCCTTTCCACCGTCGCTGCTGAAAAAGCCAGGTCACCCTACCCTCTCCTCTCCCCTCCGCTCTCCCCCCCTCCCTTATGTCGTTTTCCTCCAGAGGGAACAGGTGGTGGACTCGTTCCGGGAGGGCAGGATCTGGTTCCTGATAGCAACGGACCTGATGGGGGTTATGAGGTGACGCTGAAACCCTTTCCTCCCTCCACCTTCCCGCCGCTCTTCCCTCCCCTCCCGTCCATCCACATACCCTTCTTTCTCAAGAGGGAACAGGTGGTGGACTCGTTCTGGGAGGGCAAGATCTGGTTCCTGATAGCAACGGACCTGATGGGACGCGTTTTGAGCTTAGAGGTGATGAATACCCACGCACTCCTCCCTCTTCAGGTGACTTTTGAGTCGACTCAAAACTCAAAAGTCGACTCAAAAGTCAACTGAGTCGACTCAAAAGTCACGTAGCTTAGAGGTGATGAATACCCACGCACTCCTCCCTCTTCCCTCGCCCCTCTCCCCCCACGTGAACTCGTCCAGAGGGAGCAAGTGGTAGACGCGTTCCGCGAAGGCAAGATCTGGTTCCTGATTGCAACGGACCTGATGGGGCGAGGCATGGACATCGCAGGGGTGAATGTGGTGGTGAATTATGACTGCCCGCAGGCCACTGCTGCGTACATCCACCGGATAGGTGGGAGGGGGGTGGGAATTCTTGCTTGCAGGCATGGGATAAGCGTGTGCTTGTTGGATGCGTGTTTGCTTGCTTGCTTGCATGCTTCATCTGGTGAGCTGAAATCTGAATGGACATTGCAGGGTGAATGTGGTGGTGAATTATGACTGCCCGCAGACCACCGCTGCGTACATCCACAGGATAGGTGCGCCGGAGGGAAGGGTGCTGGGTTGTGTGCATGGGAGGGATAGGTGCGTCTGCTGGGTGTTTGCTTGCTTGCTCGCCTCTTTTCAGGCTTGCATGCATGCTCTGTGTGGTGAGCTGCATTGCGGCATGGACATTGCAGGGGTGAATGTGGTGGTGAATTACAACTGCCCGCAGACCACTGCTGCGTACATCCACCAGATAGGTGCGTGGGGATGGATGCTGGATTTTTTGCTGGCTTGTTTGCTTGCTTGCATACATGGTCATTGCAGGAAACTTTTGAGACGTCTCAAAAGTCGCAGGGGTGAATGTGGTGGTGAACTACGATTGCCGGCAGACCACCGCAGACTACCGCAGCCTACATTCACAGGATAGGTGAGGGGGGAAGGATGTATGCTTTCATTTGCATGATAGTTGGGACTCGTAATGCTTCTTCGCTATCCTGCGTGCTTGCATGCTTGATTCGGTGAGCTGCATTGCTGGTGGGCACTGCGAGGGTGAATGTGGCGGTAAATCATGGCTTTGTAAATGTTATGGCCTTGTGAATGTTATGTCCTTGTGAATGTCATGTCCTTGTGAATGTTATGTCCTTGTGAATGTTATGTCCTTGTGAATGTTATGGCTTTGTGAATGTTATGTCCTTGTGAATGTTATGGCTTTGTGAATGTTATGTCCTTGTGAATGTTATGGCTTTGTGAATGTTATGGCCTTGTGAATGTTATGGCCTTGTGAATGTTATGTCCTTGTGAATGTTATGGCTTTGTGAATGTTATGTCCTTGTGAATATTATGGCTTTGTGAATGTTATGGTATGGCCTTGTGAATGTTATGGCCTTGTGAATGTTATGTCCTTGTGAATGTTATGGCCTTGTGAATGTTCTGGCCTTGTGAATGTTATGGCCTTGTGAATGTTATGACCACAACCATGAAGCCAGGTCACAGTGGGGGCAGGGCAGCCAGGCGAGGCAGTGACATTCTGCACGGAGGAGGATGAGCCGAACCTGAGAGCCATAGGCCAACGTAATGAGCATGTCCGGGCGCCGAGCCGGCCTCACACCTCCCCACTTCACAACCTTTCTGATGTTCATTCTCACCCTTTTTTCCTTTTCTTTCTCGTTTTATTCTGCTCCACAGGCCGCAGTGGCAGGGCAGGGCGGCCAGGCGAGGCAGTGACGTTCTATACAGAGGAGGATGAGCCAAACCTGAAAGCCATAGCCAATGTGATGGCGCAGTCTGGCACTGAGGTGCCGGCTTGGATGAAAGCTCTGCCCAAGAAAAGGCTGCGGAAGCACAGGGACGGAGAGAAATCGGTTGTCTTGCCGCCTAAACGAGCGCCGATTTCAACGCACCCTGCCGCGCAGGCTAAAGGGGTGAAGCGCCGAAAGGTAACAGCAAATAAAGGCGACCAGTCTTAGAAGAGAGTTGTTAAATCTCATGGGGTCAGTTTGCATAACTTTGGATGATGTGAATTCACATACGCTTTATATTGCGATTATGTGGTGGTTTTAACACGTTCTGGGTTACATTTATTCACCAAGCTCGCTTATCGGAACATCAAGAAGCCCATGCAGAACAACCTGATCTGAACAGAATTTTGAAACAGTTCATACCCATAGGAAATGTGAGGTGATGAGCGAAGATGGCTGCTCGCTGGATCCAGTAATCACTGCTCGACGTCATTGACTCAACGCTGAGATTCAGCCAGAGCTGAAAATGCGCTTCGTTCCGAGGCTCGCGGAGACTGTTCTTGGACAGAATTGTTCCAATCTGGCTGTCCACTTCCTCGGTCAATTAGGCTCGGGTATTTGCTTTTGACGTGCTTTCACGACCTTTTCCTCATGCGATATTTTCTTCACGTGGAGGCATGAGTGCATCCCTGAGCTGTCAGCTGGGCATGGCAATTCAGCTGAATTACACCCTCTTTCTCAGCATTTTCACCTTGCGCGACTCGTCGCTACAGTTCTTGTCTCTTGCGATCTGGTGACACTAAACGTTCCAAGCAACCTGGGGGGAAAGCCGAACCACGTGACAAACTGGCTCAAGGTTGTAAAATTTCCATATTCTCTGTATACCCTTTCCAACCTAATAAGAACGCCGACAGCGCTTTTTGTAAAGTGCATCACCTTACCTAACCGCATTCTTCGCATTGTGCTTGTACAGTAGGTGACAAGACCATTCTGAACGTGGTGACGCTCTACAACCCGTGTATATTATGCAACCAGGTGGTGCTCTACTAGCGCGAAAGAGGGTGTATTTGGACATGAGGATCTGTCCGTCCGTTCAACAAGAATGCCTGCGGCTGTCTGAATCCATCATGTGCACCCTCAGGATTGTGCGGAGGAGAATGCCGACAGCGGTGCATGAGAGGAGACAATCCAGCTTTGCGCGGCAGGATAGTGGGGTGGGTAGAGCCAATCAGTTTCGTGCGCTTCGTGGACAGCCAGATGCGGAAAAGGAATGGACAGAGCCCAACATGGATTCATGGCCGCACAGACAGCTGAAGGCTGGATTCTCTTTCACGAAAAAGATTCATGTAAAAAAAAAAAAAAAAAAAAGTGCCTGAGCTGATGACGATTTGCAGCGGAATTTTCTGGCTCCACTTCTGCGGCCTGTGTTGGTTTGGTTGGTGGTGAGGGTCAGCAAAACTTCGATGTTTCTCACAGCAGAAAGTGGGTTGGTGGTGGTCGAGTCGACCACTAGGGCAGTCGGGCAGACAGCGACATTCGGCGAAATCTTGAGAGTTGTTCGCTTCTGTTCTCGTTGCGCTGTCAAGAAGCGGCGAGAGCCACGGAATGGTGCGCAGAGGGCAGGACACTGCGATTGGCTACGGTAGTCCCAAGTCGTCAACTGATCAGGCAGACTCAATCCACAAGTCCACTAGAAATTTCAATCAAAACAATGCCAGCATTCCTTCCTGCCCGTAGACTTCCCCCCAGCTTCCCCGACCTCCAGCTTCTCCTGACAGAAAGCATCATACCCAGCTCGTGACTGTTATATCCTCGACGAAGTTATGCTAACTTAGTTTACACAACGTCGAGTTTCACAAGTTATTCATATCTGCTGCTGTTGGCAACTCTTCTCAGTTCCTCAATCAAAGGCCTGCTTGGTGACACGTCGACGTACAGCAGGCGGTGATAGGCATGGCCAGGGCCGCTGAAGTCTATTTCCGAGTTGGGCGACGGGGGGTGTGGTTCGGGGAGGATATCGCGTGGTTCCGCGCGGAAGTGTTGTCAGAGTCGATACCGAGCGACGTGGGGTGAACGGGTCAACGATTGACGGCAGATACGCTTGGTTTCGTTTAATACTGTGTGAAAAAATCGTGCGGTAGTGTGCGAAGCAAAGACTGCTGCGAGTGGAGGTTCGTCGGAGAGTTGGAAATCATAGTTTCTCGAGTGGAGGCTCGTGGATCTCGAGGCGTTTCACAGAGACTGTTCGAGACGAGGATACGCTATTTAAGCTAACGGCTAGATATTATGCGCGGCTTTTAAAGATTCTTGTCTACTATCCACTAAGGCGTTCAAGATCTGTTGTTCCCGACGGCTCATTCAGGAGCAAATGGTTCACTTATTCCTTCGTGACGTTCATTTTTCTCAATCGGCTTAAGATTGGTTTCCGACCGTCTGATTCGACAGCAAGCGGTTCCTTGCTTCCGTCAACTCGTTTTCCTGCTGATTTAGCACAAAGAGATTGGATTTAGTCGTTTCGACTTGAGCGAATTTGTCTTTCTTCGCGAATCTCGCCTAGATGGAGTTTGACGGCTCCGACATGATGGCTGGGTTCGGGGTTGGGCCGGGGATGGTTTCTGCGAGCAGGCGACGGAGCTGGGCCAATCAGGGATCATCCCTGGGAGGTATGAGGCAGTTCGACGCTTTTCCAGCGCCGTGGGAAACGGGTTTTCTCGGAGGGTCACACCATATGACGGCTGCTTCCGAAGCAGCGTTGGCGGCGAGCGCAGCCCTTCCCGGCTCTGCGCTAGCAGCGAGTCTTTCAGCTGCTGCGTTTTCGCCGGCGGGTCTTGCTCCCGTTAACGTTAACGGCTCGATTCCAACCGGTCACGGCGTTTCTGCCGGCCTGCCGGCTCGCTTATGTGTCGGTAGCTCCGACGGAAGGACGCCGCAGATTTTGCCGCTGGCAGCGCCGGCCATACCGCCGCAATTGTTACTACCCCATCAGCACATGCCCGTCGGAATGACGCAGATGTTGTCCAGCAGCAGCGCCGCCGCCGCCGCGATTGCCGGAGCCTCATCCTCATCAGCCACAGCGGCAGCCGAAGCGGCAGCAGTGACGGCGGCAGCAGCAGCAGCAGCAGCAGCAGGAGGAGGTCGCGCCGCGCCGCACCTCCCGCCGCCGCCGCCGCCGCCGCCCGCGGCGCACACGCTGGCGCCGTTTCTGAGCAAGACGTACGAGCTGGTGGACGACGCGGCGACGGACGGCGTGGTGGCGTGGACGGGCAGCGGCGTGAGCTTCGTGGTGTGGCAGCCCGCGGAGTTCGCGCGCGACCTGCTGCCGCTCTACTTCAAGCACAGCAACTTCTCCAGCTTCGTGCGCCAACTCAACACTTACGTGCGTGGTGGGCACCGTTACCGTTACCGACTCCTCCTCCTCCCATGCCCATGATGCCTCCGTGTTTTGCGCGTTTGTTTCGTTGCTCCTCCCCTCCCATGGACTGCTCGCGTCGCCAGCTTCGTGCGGCGAATCAACACCGACGCGCGTGGCAATTTTTTTTCTCTCGGAGTTCGAGAGGTAACCAACCGAGGCGCTTCGCTCGCGTCGTGAGCCATTGCGCACGATGATTCAGCAAACTCACTGCCGACACGCGCTCAAATTTGCGCATTCCCTCTCCCCCGCAATGGCAAACAATTTGCGAAGCTCCCTCCCCCCCGCGCCCATTCCCTTCCGCGCGCGCCCCCTCTCCCCCGCCGCAACCCCCCAACCCTCCTTTCCTATGAAGCGTTCTTAATGCTCCCCCTCCGCTCCGCGCGATTCCCGCTTTTCTCCCCAACAGGGCTTTCGCAAAGTGGACCCAGACCGCTGGGAGTTCGCTAATGAGTGCTTCGTTAGAGGCAAACCGCAGCTGCTGCACTCGATACACCGCCGCAAGGCCTCCACTTTCGGAAGCGGTAACGGTGGGAACGGAAACGGTAACGGTAACGGAAATGGCAACGGAAACGGAAGCGGTAACGGAACGTTACCAGGCTCTGCTGCTGCCATCGCCGCTTCGCTTCACCCCGTCCCAGATCTACCTCCCCCAGTTGCCGCCGCCGCCCTTCTCCCGCCTCTCTCCTCCGCCTTCGGCGCTACCTCTGCTGCTTCGCCCGCCGCCGCCTCCGCCGCCGCCGCTTCAGCTGCTGCGTCTGCCTCGCTCCTTGCACGGCGGTACCAGCAGCAGCAGCTGTTGGGTGACGTGGACAAGCTCGGTGACTTCAGAAGAGGGATGATTTCCGCCGGTACAGTGTTTGACGAAAACGCTGTAGTCAACGCGGTCAACGGGGTGAACAGGGTCAATGGAGTAACCAGGGTCAACGCGGTCAACGGAGTCAACGGAGTCAACGGAATGAGAGCGCTGAATTGCATGTACGGATCCCATGTCTCCAACGGAGTGAGTCCCCTCATTGGGCTGGATTCAGTCGAGGCAGCGAGTAGTCAAACCCTGGTGGGGGAAACAGCTGCTGCTGCTGCTGTGTCCGCGTTGACTGGGTTGACCGGGTTGACTAGGATGACTGGAGTTGCTGGGGTGACTGGGATGACTGGGGTGGCGACGGCCATGCCTGGTGGATTGGCTGATACAGCTGGGATGACCGCGATGACTGGGATGGCTGCTACGTCCAGAATGGCTGCTACAGCCGGAATGGCTGCTACAGCCGGATTGGCTGCTACAGCCGGATTGGCCGCAAGTATGATGACAGGAATGGCTGCTACAGCTGGAGTGACTGGGATGGCTGGATTGACTGGCAACTTGACTGCTGGCATGGCCGCTACAGCTGGCATGGCCGCTACAGCCGGCGTAGCTGGCAGCAAGGCCGGCAGCATGGCCGGCAGCATGGCTCCGTACAGTGTGCCGAGTCTCATACTCGACGCGGGCGCGCGCGGTATGGGCGCATTCGGCCTGGCGGAAGAGCCAAGCCACCTGGGGATGGGGGACGACAGAGTCGCGCTGCTGCGCCGTTCAGCCGCGGGGGCGGGGCCGGTGGGAGCGCCGGGGGCGGCGGGGGTGGCGGGGAACAACACGGTGGAACGCGGCGCGTTCGGGCTGTCGGGGGAGGAGCTGAGCCAACTGCGGGAAGGGTTGGACAGAGGCGCGCTGCTGCGCCACCAGCGTTCCGCCGGAGCTGCGGGCGCGGGCGCGGGGGCGGCCGTGGGCGCGGGGGCGGGGCCGGCGGGGCTGGGAGCGCCGGGGGCGGCGGGGAACACGGTGGAGCTGGGCGCGTTCGGGCTGTCGGAGGAGCTGAGCCAACTGCGGCGCGACCGCGGGGTGTTGATGCGCGAGCTGCTGCGCTCGCGGCAGCAGGCGGCGGCGAGCGCGGAGAAGCTCGCGCTGCTGGAGGCGAACATGGCGGCGCAGGAGCAGCGCCAGGCGCACATGACGGCGTTTCTCGCGCACGCGCTCAACAACCCCGCGTTCCTCGCGGGGATCGCGCAGCTGCAGGGGCAGCACGCGCTGCTCCGCGCCAGCCGCGACAGCAGCAGCAGCGGGAGCGGAAGCGCGGGGAACGGCGGACTCGGCGGAATCTGGGGAATCGGCGGGAATAACGGGATCGGGGGGATCGGGGGAAGCGGCGGAAACGGGGCAGGCGCGGGGAAGGGGAGTCCGAAGAGGAGCAGTATCAGTCCGAGCGGGAGCAGCAGCAGCGGGCGGGGGAGTAGGAGCGGGAGCAGGAGCGGGCTTGATGTGAGTTTGAATGGCAGTTCCAGTCACGGGGGGTCTTGTATTGGTGCAGGGGGTGGAGGAGGGAGTCCAGAGTGGTTGAAAGCGGTTACCGCTGGGATGGGCGCGGCTGGTCTCGGTGCCCCTGGCTTTGCTGCTGCTGCTGCCGCCGCTGCCGCGGCTGCTGCCGCTTCTACTGCGGTTGGGATGGATGTGGATGGGTGCACGGACCTGGGCAACACTCACAAGCGTGGGTTTGACAGCGGAAACACGGGATTCCCCCAAAACGGTATGGGAGGCGCTGCAGGCATGGAAACGGGCATGAATGCAGGCAAGGAGACTCGAGGCATGGAGGGTATGGGAGGGATGGGAGCGGGGGGAGAATTGGGGGCATTGAAAGGAATCGGAGGAATGGGGGACAGTGTGGGTGCACGTGGTGCGAGAGTGAACCTGTTTCCCCCGCATGGCAGCAAGGAGCAGGTAGCAGCAGGAGGAGCAGGAGGAGGAGCAGCAGGGGGAGCAGGGGGAGGGGTGTATTTCGTGAGTGGGGCGGGCAACATGGGCATGCACTCTCAGATCTTTTTCAAGCGCCACAAGAACAGCAGTGGCACTAGTGCCGGTGCCAGCACGGGTGTTGCTGGTGCTGCCGGTGGTGGTGGGGAGGAGGAGGGGACTGCGTTTGGCAGTGCCAGCAGCAGCATGGGTGCTGCTTCTGCATTTGACCATGGTAGTGCGGAACCTTCGAAGAGCTTTCTTCCCGGGCTGTCTGGCAACGACCTTCATCACCTCTTCTCACCCCCTGCTGCTTCTGGTAAAGCTGCAGCTGCAGCTGATGCTGGTGCTGCTGCGGCTGTTGCTGCAGCTGCCACCGCAACTGCTGCTGCCGCATCCGCTTCTGCTGCCGCATCCGCTTCTGCTGCCGCATCCGCTTCTGAGAAGGTTATCGGCAACAACTTGACCAGCCAGGAGCAGGAAAAAGGCGAGCCAAATCACAGTCCCGACGCTGCTTATAACGAGTACGGTCTCAGCGAGCCGCTGGCCAACCCGTTCGGCCGCCCGCCGCCGCCCGGATTCACCATGGAGCGGTTTGACGTGCTGGGCGGGCAGCTGGTGTCGTATCTGACGCCCATGGGCGCTGCTGCTGCCAGTGCTGCTGTGGCTGCCGCTGCAAACCCCCTAGGGGGGACCCTAGGGGGAACCCTTGGGGGATCCCGTGAAGGGGAGCTAACAGGGGGGCGTACAGGGCAGTTTGGGTCCCTTACAAGGCAGCTTACTGGATCACTTGGCGGGCCAACTGCAGGGCAGCTTACAGGGGCGTTTGGAGGGGCGTTTGGAGGGTTGGCTGGAGCAGAAGGGGTGTATGATAGCGTGTTTGGGGAGGGTGTTGGCGGGAGTCTGAACCTGGTCGGCATTGGTGGTATTTGGGGGGGATTCGAGGGGGCTCAGAAGATTGGTGGAGCAGAGAACATGTATGAGCGGATGTTTGGGGGAGGCGTTGTTGCTGCTAATGGTGCTGGTGGTGCAGCTGATATAATCACGAGAGGGGCGGCAGCAGCTGCAGCAGCTGCGGCGGCGAGAAGGGAGCAGTTGCAGCAGCTGCAGGTGCAGCAGCAGAGGGAGGAGCAGCAGCAGCTGCAGCAGCTTCTGTTGCTGCAGCAGCAGGAGGAACAGCTTTTGCTGCTGGAGCAGGAACGGCTCGGGCGTGGGCTTGTTCCTGCCTCTGCAGCTGCATCAGCAATGGCAGCAGCAGGATCAGCAACAACAGGACCAGCAGCGGCAACAGTGGCAGCAACTGCAGCAGCAGCAAGAGCAGCAACTGCTGGGGAACTAAGAGCAGCAGAGATGCGCACAGCAGTCGCAGCAGCTCAGGTAGCAACAGCAGCAGCAGTAGCAGCAGCAGCAGCAGCAGCAGATTCAGCAGCAAGCAGAGCAGCAGTGCCTCCGGCTGTAGCAGCAACGAGTCCAGCTGTAGCAACAGCAGCAGCATTGGCCCATTTTAGGGCAGCAGAGTTGACCTCATTGGAAATGAGAGCAGCACAGCTGAGAGCAGCCGAGTTAAGAGCCGCAGAGGTAAGAGCTGCGGCAGTGGCAGCTGCTGCTGCTTCTGCTGCTGGACCTGGATCGTCCCTTGTGCGAACTGTACCTGTGCTTGCAGCAACCAATGCAGCGTCAAGCGTGCCTGGCCTAGCTGCATCACTAGCAGCATCAAGCGTCCCTACCCTAGCAGCATCAAGCGTCCCTACCCTAGCAGCATCAAGCGTCCCTACCCTAGCAGCATCAAGCGTCCCTACCCTAGCAGCATCAAGCGTTCCTGCCCTGGCTGCATCAAGCGTCCCTACCCTAGCATCATCAAGCGTCCCTACCCTAGCAGCATCAAGCGTTCCTGCCCTGGCTTCATCAAGCGTTCCTGCCCTGGCTGCATCACTGACAGCATCAAATGCAGCATCAAGTGCGGCCACTGCTTCTTCAGCAGCAGCGGTGGGTACGGGCATGGGCATGGGCATGGGCATGGACACGAGTATGGGGGTAGCAGCAGCGCTGGCAGGAGGTCTCCTTGGGGGGACCGCTGCCATTGGTTTGACAGGAGGAAGTTCGGCAGGAGGAGGTTTGGGAGGAGCAGCGTCAGGCTTGGCAAGTGGCTTGTCTGGGGCACGAAGCCTAGGTGGGTATGCATCTAAGTCCCTGCTATCCCCTCCTGGGTTGCCACCACTCGTGCCACCCGTGCTGCCATCAACAGCAGCAGCAGGAGCAGCAGCAGCATCAGGATCTGTGCCCGCTGCTGCTGCTCTGTCTGCTGCTGCTCGCAAAGCAGATCTGGCACGAGCAGCAGCAGCTGCTGCTGCAGCAGCTGCGTTTTCCTCCCCTTTAATGGGTACCAGACCCGCACTCACTACCGCTGCTTCTGCCGCTGCTTCTGCTGCTTTTGAGGCGCCTGTAATGGGAACGTCAGGAGCTGCATTCACTGCAACGGCTGCTGCAGCAGCACTGGCGTCAGCTGGTGTTCCCACCTGCCACATTCCCCTCCCCCTGCCCCTGCCCCTGCCCCTGCCAATCGCACGCCCGCCTGCCTCCCTTCCCCCTCCTCTCTCCAACTCTTTCCCTCTTTTCGACTCCTCTCCTCTCTCACGCTCCTCCCCTCTCTCCACCTCTTTCCCTCTCTCTCACGCCACCCCCCTCTCTCGCTCCTCTCCTCTCTCAGACTCACACTCTGCTCCTATCTCATTGTCAGCCTCAGCAGCGGCAGTGGCAACAGTGGCAGCGGCGGCAGCAGCAGCAGCATCAGCAGGAGTCACATCAGCCTCGGGGGGAAAACCGAGCCTTACCTCTTCCTTAGCGCCAAATCTCCCCGCCTCCTCCCCAATCAATCCTATCAGCCCCATCCGCCATATAACCCGTCCCATAGGCCCTCCTATAGGTCCCCTCACGGGAAACATCCGCCCTATAAGCCTTCTCGGTTCCACAGACCAAAACTCTCTACTGACACTGACTTCACTACCAACCCAGCCTGTACCTCCGTCTCTGCACCTCTCATCTGCTTCCCTTCTCTCCTCCTCTCTCCTCGCCTCCTCTCTCCTCGCCTCATCCCACCTCGCCTCATCCCACCTCGCCTCACCCCACCTCGCCTCCTCCCAACTCTCCGCCTCCTTCCTCTCCTCTGCGGCTCTCTCACTCTCTCCAGCAGAGCTCTTCGCTGCCGAAGCAACTCACTGCACTACCACTGCCGTGCCTCCTCCCACTATCCCCGCTCGCTCTTTCCCCAGTCGCCCGCCTGCAGTGAATCCCATCCAGCACCCTGCTGTCCTACCTCCCTTTACCTCCACCCTCGCCCCTCCCCACCCGTGCCCTCGTAGTCCTCCCCCTCTTGCTGGGGCTTTGCCGGTTGGCATGCCTCCCACTCTACCTCCCACTCTTGCTCCCGCCCTTACTGCTCCAACCCTCGCTGCTTCAACCCTCGCTGCTTCAAATCTCGCTGCTTCGAGTCTTGCTGCCTCGACCCTCGCCCCTGTGCTACCTGCAACGCCCATCTCTCTGGACTCACTCGCTACAACCACGTCAACTTCAGCCGCTGCAGCTGCTACAGCTGCTACAGCCAACTCGTTTGATGACGTGGCTCTAGCAGGTAGAGCCGCTTCAGCTGCCGCCCTGGCTGCTACAGCTGGGAGCGTGGGGATGGGTGCTACAGATGCGAGCATGGGGATGAGTCAGAATGCGTCTGCGGTGTTCAGAGGAGAGGGGGAGGCTGATGATGAGGCGTTTTGGCAGCAGCTGCTGAGTGAAGGGGGGCAGTGAGAGCGGTGGGGAGGGGCAGTGAGTGCGACGGGGAGGAGCAGTGAGAACAACTTGGACAAGTGGAGGAGAGGGGGTACGGGGGGAGGGGAGGGGAGAAGGAGGAGGGGAGGGGGACAGGAGAAGAGCAGGCGATGAGGGGAGGAGGGGCCATGTAAAATGTCTGCCATAACTCTCATTCGTTTGTTCTAGTTTCATATTCTGCTGCCACTGCCCCTGCCTCCACCTGCCTCTGCAGCTGCATGTGTAGTCCTATACATGTGTTCCCCCTGTGTGCTTGTGAATTTTGGGTGTAGATTTTGAACGTTTTGTGTGATTTGTGGCGAGGAATGAGTGCACTATGAAATGAAACAAGTACAAGTACCAACCCTAATTGGGTTGTACCCCCTATGGGATACCCCACTACAGCCTAAATATATGCATCAGTAATATAATCATCTGACACACCCCCATAGGCAAAGTGGGGGAGAGCAAGGGGTCACAAGACCAGTCAAGCAAAGCAAAGCAAAGCAAAGCAAGCTCAGGGTGGATCTCAAGGATACCACACAAATTACGAGCACAGGATCAAGGCCACAAGGCCAGTTCACATGCAGCAGAGCATATATATATAGCAGTGCTAAACAAGCAAGAGCAAGGATATATATATGCAGCAGTACAAGCAAGGTCAAGAGGTAAGCAAGTGAGGCCCAGTGGGCACAAGGCCTAGCAGAGTGCAAAAGCGCTGATGGTCACGAGGCGGAAGTGCCTTGGTGAACACATCAGCAGTGTTGGCCTCAGTGGCCACGAAACGCAGGCGAAGCTGACCACGCTGCTGCAGCTCTCGAGCAAGGAAGTAGCGCAGAGCAATGTGCTTCGTCCTGTGCTCCAGTCTGTGCTCCTCACACAAGGCAATGGTTGCCTTGTTGTCGACGTACAGCACTGGAGGAGAACGAGGCCGCTCTCCAAGGTCAGTCAGCAGGTAGGTGAGCCAGCGAAGCTCCTGGGCAGCCATGGCCGTGGCGTAGATCTCAGCCTCACAGCTGGAGCTGAGAACCGAAGAAGAGCGAGTAGAGCGCCAAGAGACAGAGCCAGAGCCAAGACTGAAGGTGTAACCCTGAGACGACCTCTGAGTAGCCTGGTCGTCAGCCCAAGAAGCGTCTGAGTGCCCGGTGAGCACAGGCCGCTCACGCCCTCCAAGCACTAGCCCCATGCCCGACGTACTGCACAAGTAGCGCAACACCCTCTTAGCTGCATCCATGTGCTCCTTCCGGTGACGGCCGGGAGCAACATAGCGTGCTAAGATGCTGAGAGGGTATGCGAGGTCAGGTCGAGTGCAAGTCATCAGGTACATGAGGCAGCCCACAAGCTCTGGATACGGACCACTCGACTCTACGGACTCATCCGAAGGCAGAGCTGAGAGCGAGTGTCCCGTAGGCAGAGGAGTGGACTGAGGCGAGGAGTACGTGAAGCCGAAGCGCTGAAGGACCTGCTGCACCATGTGTGACTGAGTCAGGGTAATGGTGCGGCGTGCTCTGTCCCGGGTGATCCGCAAGCCAAGATAGCTTGTCAGTTCACCCAGGTCTGTGCACGTGTGTCTCTTCTGCAGCTCGGACTTCACGTGGGCGAGTGCGGCAGTGTCCGCAGTGGCAAAGACCAAGTCGTCGACGTACACGAGGATGTAGAACGGCGGCAGCGAGGTGTCGGTGCGCAGAAACAGCGACGGGTCAGCAGTAGAAGGAGCAAACCCAAGAGCCGCAAGTGTAGTCCTCAGTGTGTCGTGCCACTCACGCGGCGCCTGGCGGAGACCGTAGACTGGCCGCCGGAGGCTCCACTGGGTACCAGGAGGGAACGACCCGGTGAAGCCAGGAGGGCGGCGCAGCCAGATCTCGTGCAGGCGGCCCCGCAGGAAAGCAGTGCTGAAGTCAAGAGAGTATAGCTCGTAGTCACGCTGAGCAGCGACGTGCAGTAGAACCCGAAGAGTGGTCATCTTCGGGGTCGGGGAGAAGGTCTGAAAGAAGTCAGCTCTCTGTCGCTGACTGAAGCCACGAGCCACGTAGCGCGCCTTGAAGACAGGCGGAGAACCCGGCGGCCGCTTCACCCCGAAGATCCACATGCCACTGACGATGTTCGCCCCAGGAGGGGGGACAGCGTCAACGTAGGTGCCTGTGGACTTCCAGGAAGCCATCTCTGCGTCCATGGCTGACTGCCACTGAGAGGAGTAGGGACCGGCCATCGCCTCTGTGTAAGAGCGTGGGGTCGGGATGTCTAGAGCATCCGGGTCTCCCTCAGGGGCAACAAGCATGGACACGAGATGGGGCAAAGCGGCGGTAAAGCACTGGAACTCCTCCTGCCTGTCCTCAAGGACGTCCGTGCCAAGAGCACAGTCACCCCCGACGGACGGAGGACAGGCAAACGCAGACGCAGCAGACGCAGACTCAGCAGACTCAGCAGACTCAGCAACAAGACTGGCAGCGTAGTCCAGACGACACGCAGCAGCAAAGTCGACCAGCTCAGCAACTAGGGCAGACGCAGCAGCGGACTCAAAGGAAGGGTCAGTGACAAGAGTAGCAAGAAGACGCGTGACAGTAGGACTGGCAGCACGGTGAGAGTCCGACTCCGGGTCGGCAAGAGTAGGAAGAGAAGACTGAGGAGGAGAAGGCAAAGGGGCACGCAGAGGAGCAGTGGACGGACGCAGAGACATCTGGTGCGTGCCAGGGACAGGGGGAGGACGCTGACGCGAAGCGCGACCACTAGTGCGAGCAGCTCGGACTGGCGACACAGGGCGGGACGCAGGCTCACGACGCTCAGCAAGACCTCCAGTAGGACCAGCGTAGGGAGAAGGAGAAGGCAGAGGAGAGGCGGGCTGTAACTGTGACCGTGACGGGACAGGCTGCGGACACTCTACGGGAGGAGAAGGACCAGTGGAAGGCGGGAGACCAAGAACCTGCTGAAGGAGCGGAACGAAGTACGGCCGAGGCCGCGCAGCAACGCCAGAGACAGCAGGGACAGCACCAACACCTCCAGAGGCAGCACCAGCACCAGTAGCAGCTCCAGCTCCAGCACCACCAGCAGTTGCAGAAGTACCCGCAGTAGGACCGACAGTCGTAGCCTCAGCGCCAGCACCCGCAGCAGCTCCAGCTCCAGAGGCACCCCCGGGCCCGGCAGCTCCAGTACCCTCAGTACGAGCACCTCCGGGACCCGTGGTACCAGCTCCCTCGGCAGCAACGGAACCTCCAGCACCCGCAGTACCCCCGGCTCCAGCAGCTCGCCTCCAGCGCCGGGCAAACCACTCACGCAGCTCCAGAGGAGAGAGCGGCTCGCGGCGCGAAGAACGGTCTGGAGAACCACCAGGAACAGAAGCAGCAGGCGCAGCACTCCCAGACGTAGAGCCCCCAGGCTCAGCACCCCCAGGCACAGCACCCCCAGGCTCAGCACCCCCAAGCTCAGCACCCCCAGTCACAGCACCCCCAGGCTCAGTACCCCCAGGCTCAGCACCCCCAGGCTCAGCACCCCCAGTCGCAGCACCACCAGGCTCAGTACCCCCAGGCTCAGCACCCCCAGTCTCAGCACCCCCAGTCTCAGCACCCCCAGGCTCAGCGCCCCCAGTCTCCGCACCCCCAGTCTCAGCACCCCGAGGCTCCGCACCCGCAGCAGCACCAGAGTCACCAGTGACCTCGACAGGCTCGACCGCGTCTACCTGAGACACACCTGACGGGGCAGGACCCTAAGGGGGGAGGGGGTCTACCGGGGGGGGACCTGGGACCAGGAAGAGGGGCGGGGTGGGGAGGGACGGAGTGCGGTAGGGGAAGAGCCGGTAGAAGGGAACCGACTCGTCGAACGTGACGTCCTAGGAGGACAAAACACGACGAGAGGTGGGGTGGTAAAACTGCCACCCAGGTGCGTCAGGGGGGAAGCCCAGGAAGACGCAAGGAGCAGCACGAGGGGACAGCTTGTCCGCAGACAAGTCGCGGACAAACGCCCGAGATCCCCAGACACGGAACGCCGACGCATCGCCAACCTTCCCCGTCCACAGCAAAGCTGGGGAGGTCTCCGGACTGGAGACCCTGGGCTGAAGGTTGATCTGATGTGCGGCGTACCTCACCGCAAACGGCCACAGAAAATGGGGGGCAGCCGCATGCACCATGGACGTACGGGCGACGTCCATGACAATGCCGATGCGGCGCTCAGCAATCCCATTCTGCTGTGGAGAGTCCGGAAGGGTGAAGGTCTGGCGGATGCCTCGTGCCTGACAGTAGGCTCGCAGAAGGTCGGAGGAGAACTCTCCGCCTCTGTCCGAGTGCAGACGCAAAACAGGAAAGTCCGAGCCGAAGCTCCGCCTGAGCTGGAGACGAGCTGCGCGGATCCAGTCGATCAACACCTCAGTGACCTCACCCTTGCTGCGCAAGGGGAAGACTGTGGTGTAACGCGAGTAGTCGTCAACCACCAGCAGGAAGTAGCGCTCGTGACCCTGTCCACGGACGCGGGCTGGGCCCCACACGTCCATGTGAAGCGTCTGCATCGGGGCCTCCGTCGGAGGAAACGGGGAGGAGTGAGGGGTAGCCCGCAGTCGACCCTCGACACAGGGGACACAGGGAGGGCCAGGCCCCGGAGGAAGGGGAGGGTGGGACCGGGGAAGGCCAGAGACAAGAAGGCGAGAGGCCATGCCCCGGAGACGAGGCAGGGAGGGGTGACCCATCCTGTGGTGCCACAGGAGGGTCTCGTGGGACAGGAGGCGACACGAGCAGGGGGCAGACTCAGGACCAGACCTGGACGCTGCAGCAAACACCTGACCCGACGCAGCTACCTGACCAGACGCAGGAGGAGGAGACGGAACAGTGAGTGTGTACAAGCTCGACCCCGGCCCACGTGTGAACGTGGTCAAGTGTCGACCCGTGTCCGCGTCCATGCAGTGGGTGTCCCGTCGGCGTGCAGGGGTGAACTGGTCGACCCCTGCATCCTGTAGGTCAGCACCCGCCACCAAGTTCGTAGAGAACGAGGGGAGGTAGAGACCGGACAGGGCGCCA